TGGTGCTGAGGCTTGAAGTACACAGGGCAGGCAGTTGGGAAGGGAAGACGGATGTATAGTGGTGGAAAGCAAGAACATGGTGGAACCCATGAGGATGGACTGAAACCCATGTCAGTACTTGTTGCCTTGACCTTGACATCATGGCTGTCCTGCAGAGGCCAGGACACTTTGTCACAGAGCTAAAAACATACACACCTGGTCCAGAAGTTGAAGAAACTAACTGAAGGAGGATACAGGGAAAGATGGAGCAGTTGCACGCCCAGCCACACTCTCACACCAACAAGGTGAGTCAGCAGATAAGCAACAAGATATGTGAGCTGCAACATGGTTGCTGCTTCCCTTCTGCCCTCCAAATCTCCCGCAAGAATCTCTCTTGTGGACCACTCTAATCGAAACATACAGGAAAGGGAATACTGGGAAATGTAGTTCAGCCTGGGCAAGTGGGCTCATTACAAAGCCAACACAATGTCCTTGGCTCAGCCCCCACTCTTTGGAGCCCATAAGCTATCAAATGCTTATTACTCCCTTACAGTAGAAAACAATAACTGTTTCCAACAATGCTGCTTGAGTGTGTCCGAGTTGCCTGTTTGACTGACTCAGCCTCAGTGTACTTTGATCCAAACAGTGTCACTCCTTTAAATATGTCACAGTCACATCCCTCAGAGAGATGCCATTTTACTGACCTGATAAGGTGATTTTCTTCTGCAGCGTGTAAACTTTTTTTTGTTTATTTGTTGCTATTGTTTATAATGAGGGCCTTTCCTTGGGTGGTTTTGCTGATGAAGCAAAATGTGTCTGGTATCTTGTGCCTCTTAATCGTTCTTCAGGGGCTCTACAGTATTACAGGGGAGTTGTTCAAAAATGAAACATAGACCCGCTATTCGGGGCAGGTGATACTGGTGATTGAAGGAAATTGTACCTTTGTGGAGAATTTATTCTGGAAGACCTTTTATCTGACTTTCAGGATTTCTGAGGGAATCTTTAGAGCTGGTTGAGGCATTGAGGTAGCCCTGACAGGACACGTACCTGTGCATGCTCACACACACGTGTGCACACACACAGAGAGAGAGAGAGAGAGAGAGAGAGAGAGAGAGAGAGAGAGAGAAGGAAACACAGTGGGTAAGCTTTGCTAGCATAGCCCTTCCAATTTGGTGGCTGGAAAGAGAAGACAAGATGGGGGTGGACCTTTTGCAAGGTTTCAGCAGAGAGGATCCTGGCAGGTTGCCTACTAGCAGGGAATGTGCAGTTTACAGGTATCGCCACAAGATGGTGCAGTGACTGTGCACATGGTGTATGTACACTCCAGCAGGGGAAATCGAGGCCCTCTAAAGATTCAGCTTTTTTGTTTTTCCATATGAGGCTTAAGCACTGGGAAGATAGCAAATGTGGAAGGGAGCTAGGGAATTTGAATGTTTTACCAAATATTATCTGCAGTGTTTGAGAATGAAGAAAACCTATTTACAGCCATACGTGGCTCTGAAATCCTGGTGACGGGTACTGGGTATGCAATCTGTAAATCTGTCAGCTAATTATGAACTCTTTGCTTTGTCAGTTATACAGAAAGCTAATAAACTGTGGTGTAATTTGGCACTTTTTATACAACAGATTCTATTGCCACTGGATATGCTCAATGGGCTGTGGAGTGGAATGGGACACAGAGTTTTCATCCCTCTAACTACAGACTTTTCTCTCGAGGCCTGGATTATGAGGTTCATTTACTTTATGCCACTTAAGTCCTGTACAGGGCAGTGAAAGAACAGCAGTCCAAGATGGCTTAAGAGTCTCAATTCATGTAAGTGTTGCTGTCTCATCTGTTTAGGGCTTAACGGAGGTAGATGGGTTCACAGTACCAGTTAGCAGCACGATTCCTAAAGGCAGGCATATGACCTGGAGGGCCTGGCTAGAATTTCATAAAAGATAGGATTTCAAAGTGATAGCAAACTATCTTTAAGTGCTTTAGAAAAGAATGCGCAACTCAACAGGTAAAGCCTGGCTTGGTTTTAATTTACACACTGCTCAGAAAGATTAGTTGTATGTATATAAAAGAGAGTGTAAAATGGGGTAAATTTTATTTTATTTAAAAATAAAACAATTTAATGACGTAATTTTTAAAAATTGTTGGCTTTCTTCATGGAAAATCCTATATAAAGATAGTTTTAAGATGCTACAAAAGACAAAAGACAAGCGACAGTCTAGAAGAAAATAACTATACCACATACGACAAAGGGTTAATAACCACAATTACAAAGAACTCGTAAATCAATAAGGAAAAGATAAACAAGCCAATAGCCAAATGAATAATGGTATTTGAACAAGCAAATTAAAGAAGAAATATAAAATAATTAACATATGAAAATATGCTCAATCTCACGGGGGAATGTAAAATAGTCCATAAATACTGGTAATAGGGAAATGCAGATTCAAACAAAAAAATAGCATCTTCTTTGCCTCTCAGGGGAAAAGATGATAATACACCAGGTTGTTGATGGTGTAGGGAAAGAGATAATTGCATATACTCTTAAGAGTAAACTGTAACACAATTCTGGATGGCAATTTGGCGGCTTCTATCAAAACTTCTAATGTGTATGCCAAGAAATTCTGCTTTTAGGAATGTCTCCTGTCCTATAGAAATACTCAATGTGTGCCCAAATTCATGTATATAAAGATGCTCATCACAGCATTGTTCATGCTGGAGAAGATGGAAAACAATGCAATTGTGTATCAGGCCGGTGGTTAAATCAACTGGCATATCAATACCAGGGGATATGCAGTTATTAAAAGGAATGAGGCAGAACTACATATACCAACATGAGCCAATCTCCAGTCTATGTAGTTAAAAGAATGTGTGTGTATGTGTTTGTATGTAAATATTACAGAAACAGATCTGGGAGGATACACTCCAAACTGATAACACTAATTAACTCTAGCTCTATGGAGGGGATTTGGATTGGCGATGTGAAGGAACACTACTATATTTTGCTTTATATACTTCTCTCTATATTTTTAATAATAAGCAGGTATTAACCTATTATGAAATTTAAAAATAAATTTATTTTAAAAGATATAACTAGGATTATAAAAGTTACAATTTCCCTTCTCAAAGCTTCACAGGTGTCCAAACAATCCTCAATAACAAATCCAAAAGCTAAGACCTACGTGAGATGGAGATTAACAACTGCGTGCTCCTAATACCCCTTAATTTTGTTCTTTTCAGGCTCACAGAATTCACTTTTATTATGAGTTTTTCCTGGCTGCCTTCTGGCAGTAGCTCTCCAAGGGACAATGTGAGGGTTTGAGGTGAGGAGCAAGGGAGATGGCTAGAAAATCATGTTTTTCTTTCCTTCAGCCTCCTTTGTTGCCTTAACTAATTGAAAAATGTTTTCCTCTTTACCTTTTGTGTTCTTTCTTATTTTAGGGCTTTCCAAATTGCACTTATACACAAGCATGCACTTTTTAGTACTTGTCATTAGAATTTTGTGATCTGGCTAGATTTGGACTTTTGTAAAAGCATTTCAATTTACTTTCCAGGGCTCTGGGGAATTGGCACTTCAGCCAAATCGACTTCTTGCTCTCCCTCCTTTCTTTCCAGGGACTAATAATGACATACTCCATTCTTGGACCCACAGAATTGCCTCACACTTCCCTCATGACCACCTGGGGTCTTCTATCATGTCTTTTGGTTTGTTAAAAACATATGCTTTCTTATATTGCGTTTTGTTTAATGTTCTTGATTTCTGAGTATCGTATATGCCCTTGCACCATGGTAGCGTCCATCAAGGCTCCATCCACATTCAACTCCTTAACTATTTACCCTCAGAGGAAAAATTGCCTTGATGAATGATATATATTTTATCTGATTATTTCACCTTTCTTGCCGAGCTGTTGCCTTAAACACACTCCTAAGGCAGATTTAGCAATTCGCGTCCTGGTGTACATTTGTTACAACAGGCATATAGATTGCTAGTCACACATCACCATCAGATTCTGACCTGCAGTTATATTTGTAAATGACTTTTCAGCCTTTTCCACTAGCTCCCCTGATCTGTATATCTATAAAGAACTCCTCTGAGATCCTCATCATTTATTTGCTCTCCCATCTTAACTCCCTATGACCTCCTTTTTGTCTTATCCTCGAAAATACTATGTGTCAAAGACTAGTGTCTTATCTTCCTCTGCCCATCTTTCATATCCTCTTCTAGATCTATTTTCTTTTGCTGTTGGAGGTGGAGGTTAAAAATAGCTACCATCTATCACGTAATTTCTTATCTCTTGGTTAAAAGTCTTCATTACAGTATTTTCCTGTAATTAACAGGCATATTTTGTCTTCCACCCACTGAAGTATTGATGAAAATATTAAGTAGTGTCAGCCTTAGGTCAGTTCCTTGAGAAACACAGTGCAGTGTGCTTCCCTGCCTCTGCTTCTTATTGAACTATCAAAAACTAGTTTGTCAATATCATCCTCTAGTGCCAATTGTATACTGTCTGAACCATATTTTTCAAGCTGGTTAATGAGTAGGTCATGGCTGGGAGCAGAATCAAAAGGCTTTCTAAGGTCAATATATATTATGTTGTTTGCTACCCCAAATCCATTAGGCTTGTCATCTGTTACCAACAAAAATTACATTGGGTCAGCAGGATTCTGTTTTCTTCATAATGTAGTGTTGATTGTTACTCAGCACCCTGTACTGTTCTTACTTTTCTTTTTATTTATATTGTGGAATTATTTTTTAAATGTTGTCCTGTGAGTAAAATTAGGTTTATTTTACCTTTCATGTCTATGTTGACTCTTTACCCTTTCTTAAAAGATAGGTGGTGCCTTTGTCTTTTTTTTTTGATCTCCAGGAACTCTGCCTTCCAAGAATTTCCAGACATTAGTGGAATGCATTAGTTTGTCAAAGAATCTAGATGATTCTTTAAACAATTTAGGATGAAAGTCCTAAGAGACTATTTTTAATGCTCAGTATAAATTGAGATTGCTCAGTATCACAAGACGAGGTGGCCGAGTGGTTAAGGCGATGGACTGCTAATCCATTGTGCTCTGCACGCGTGGGTTCGAATCCCATCCTCGTCGGCTTGCTCAGCATCAATTCTATGCACGTGGAGCTTTAGGCAGCCCATGTTACCTGCTGTGGTTGTGTGTGTGTGTGTGTGGATTAAAGTTTCTTTTTACTTTAATGTCATATTTTCAACTACCTTCCCACACAAAGAGCCACACTGTTTCTTCTTTCAAACAATATATATATATATCTGTTGCTAGCAGGATCTTATTCTACCCTTTGGCTCTCCCCATTTTATCTTTAAATGTAGCTGTTTCAAATCTTTTGTGGGCAGGAGAAAGGTATTAAGAAATAAATCTACTCCCTAAATGATCACATAGGTAGTTTTGTTACAATCCACTTATGCCAAGGACTGCAATTGTTAGCTCCAGGAAATAGTGCTGAGGAGGAGGATAATGCCTGAGAAAGCCCCTTCTAATCCTACAGTGGGGCTTGGCATCCAGAGTTTAAACGACTAATCTTCAGTTACATAAACTCCATGCTTTTTCTCTACAGAGTATGATAAGTCTTTTAAAATAAGTATATAATAGGAAGGTCTTCTCTGGCCTTTGCTGTTTAGATTTCGCCTTCCTTTATACCACGATGCTTTTTTTATTAATGTAAGTAAAGTGTAAAAATTAGGGAAGTAATTTTGTGGATGCAAGCATACCGTCCAACCCATGTTCATATTTTGGCAGACAAAAAACCTCAAAAAACAAAAAACAAATCCCTCTTGTTGGAAGTTTTCTCTACTCATCTTTGTTTTCTATCATAATTAGAGGGAAAAATAGAACAATACTATTGCAAGCAATAATAGCTAACTTTTATTGACTGCTTACTATGAGCCAGGCTTTGTGCTAAGCTGTTTTACGCAATTAACTCCTATTTTTTACTTGGAGTAAATGGAAATTCAGAGAAGCTAAGTGAATTGCCCAAAGTCACACAAGTAAAGAGTGGTAGAGGTGGCCACTCTTTAGGCCACTCATTAATAGGACTGGAGTTGGGCAGTCCAAGAGTCTGAGATAACATTTTTGACATTTTATTGCCCATGAAATCAGCATCCATCTGATTTATGAAATTTATGAAATCAGCATCCATCAACAATTTATGGCATATTAAATTCTGTTAAATAGAGTATTTTAAATAAACCGTATTGTTTCTATTATAAAATAGTTATATGCTCATATTAGAAAATTCGGGAAAAAATTCACACCCAAGCCCCACCATTTTGTTATATTCCCCTTCAATCTTTCCTTTATGCATAATTTTTCTTATGATTTGTTTGTTTTACATGGTTGTGAGAATGCTCTACATGCAATTTTGTATACTTTAAAAATTTTATTTTTATAGCATAAACATTTTTCCTGCTGTGTTATTTTTAAAAGGCTACTTGGTAATCAAATGAATGGATTGTATAATTTACTTAGCCTTTTCCACATGATTTAGCATTTAGGCTGTTTTGTTTTCATTATTATAAATATCACTGTATTTAAATTCTTCATTCATAAAGCTTTGCTCTATTTTGAATGATGTCACAGAAATGAAATTATTGGATCAAAAAATGTGAACCTCTTTAAAGTTTTTGATAAATGCTGTCAAGATGGATTTCTGAGCTGGTTGTACCAATCAACAACGTCAGAGCATGAGAAATGAATATCAAGCAAGAAATATTTCCATAGCTACCTGAAGGCGTGCCTGCGTTTTCACTATTTGACTCATTTGTAGAATCATAGAAGGTTAAAGCCAGAAGGGATTCTGGGAATTATATACTATAATCTTTCTTTGTATAGGCAGAAACACAGAGACCTTGTGATTGATGCAGGTTCTCCTAGGGAGTTAGAAGAAGAGCCAGGAATTGAAACTGGGGCACTTGACTTCCAATTACATGGTTTTTTCCACTACTATTCCACAAATTCCCATCCTGAAATCCTGCCACCTTTTCCATCTTATAAGGATCCCATGAGTATTTGTTTTTTTAGAAAGTGTTATAGAAAGAGGGAAAAAGCTAGACACAGACATGGGTTACTGATGCTGGAGTGCCTGGCCCTGGTGAGGAAAACAGTTTGGACAAGGAGGTCTTCTTGGTCATGTTCCGTTGCACCATGTAGACTGCCAACACACAAGGCTAACTGTATTCAGAAATGGTTCAGAGAGAAGCTTCACTCTGCTCTTCTGACATCAGGTAGTCCTTCAGTTCTTTTCATGGGCTTACTGTGGGGCGTCTCAGAAGTAGAAAACACAATTCTGCCCTTAGAGATCTAACAGTGGAGTGGAGAAGGCAAGAATTGTGTTCATGACAAAAATAAAGGCATGTTAGAGTGTATACCATGAATAATTCAGGCTATAAGGAAATTTTAGAGTGGATGTATGTAGAGAAGCTTCTGCACTGGAGTTGAGTAGAGCAACCCTTTAACAGATGGGCAGGATGTGGATGGGCTGTAAGAAAGGAGGCATTCTCCCTTTAACTAAGTTGAGAGGGTATGGGTGGCCCATAGTGAGGATCTAGCCATGGTCAGGGAGAGACTCAGGTTAGAGGAAAAGAGGTCTCTAGAAGTACTTGAGAACATCCAGTCCATCTGCCTCATTGACTAGATAATAATAACCACAGCAAACATTTATATCACACCAAGTACTGTCTTAAGTCCTTTACAGATATTAAATCGTTTAATCTTTATCAAAACTCTATAATAATTATCCCCATTTTACAGATGAGGAAACTTAGACATGGGGACATTACATAACTAGCCCAGAGTCACACAGCTAGTAAGCGGTGGTGTGGTATTTGAACCCAAGCAGTCTGGCAACAGAGTTCATGTTCTTAACACCATTGTTGTGCTGCCTTACATGTGGGAAAGAAAATCAAGGCTCAAAGAAGGGAAATGGTCTACCTGCTTGAGGCCACCCGGCAAGTTAACACCAGAGTTGGTATTAATGTCCACGTTAGTGAGCTTTCCTCTCTTCTCATTGTAGCTTGGGCCGTTTAGTGTATTCGAGTAGCTTACGCGGAATCAAAGTGCTGGCAGGTAACCAACCAGAACGTATATCCCTCTTATTAAAGTGAAGTGGACCACTCTGTTACCCAAGGCTTCCTCATTGCTTGGCAAGAATCTGAGTAAGACACCTGGGGCTGAGAAGTGTTCCCCATCCCCTGGCTAGAGAGGCTACATGGCCTCATTGGTGGCACTGGCAGAGTTGCTGCTTGCTGACACCACTCTTGTATTCTATCCCACCAACATATAAACAGACGTTTCCTTACCGCCACAGCATTGTTGGGGCATGCTTCCAAAAATCAATGAGTAATAGCTTTCTACTGCTTTATGATCTCCTTCCTAGACAGCTCCCCCCCTTTTTTTTTTGAATCTAGAATCATGCTGAGGAATAGTGGCAGGGAAGTAGGAGGAAGAAGGGAAGCAGCACAGCCTTTGTGAAGATTCTGGAGACAAGTGACTCAGAATTCTGAAACTTTTCTGAGAAACCCATTTGCCGAATCAGCAGACACTTGACTGATTTATGCCCCCTGTTCTCAGGCTTTATCACTGAGCTGCTACAGCAGCTTCCCAACTGGCCTTCCTGTCTCCAATCTTGATCGTCTGATTCAATCCCCATACTTCTGCCAAAGAGATCTTTCTATAATACAGAACTGATCATGTCACTCCCTCACTGTAAAGTCTTAATGCCTGAGCTCGGCCTTCAAAGCCTTGTGGGACTTGGGCCCTGCTTATTCCTCTAACCTAGTTTCTCTCACTCCCAGGACACATCTCAGCTGCACTGAATAGTCCATGGTCCCCCAAACTCCTCATGGCTTTTCACGTCTCAGAGGGCCTCAGTACAGCAGAGTGAGTCTGGGCTTTGGAGCCAGCAGGCCTGGGCACTCCAGTCCCAAGTTTATCACTTACATGGCTCTAGTGAACCTATAAAGTCTCAGTTTGCTCATCTGTAAAATGTGCATAATAATGCCTACTTTACAGGGTTGTCTGGGGACTTGAAATAACATAGAAAGCATCTACTATAGTGCCTATAACATAGCAGGTACTCAAAAGAAAGGTGTGATAATCATGATGATGCCATTTTTGTCTCTGAGCCTTTGTGCGTGCTAATCCCTCTATATGGAATGCCCTAACCCCCTTTCTTGGTTAACTTTATTTACCCTTCACAATTCAGTGTAAACATCACCTCTCTCAGGGAGTTTTCCTAGGCCCTCACTCCTCGTCTCCTCCTGTATGGCCTCCTCCTTTGTGCTTCCATAGCACCCTGCGCTGAGATGAGTGACAGTGCATTTCCTATCCAGGTGTTAGTCGTGTGGTTCCTTCACTGTCTAAAATTTCAAATGCCCAAACTCTGCAGGCCACTGCTCTGAAAATTCATTCCAAACACAATCTTGCTCCTTTTTTATTTCCCAAAAATGAATGTTTAAAAGTGCTCATATTTGAGTCCCCTCTCTTCCACTAACTGAAGGTGAATATTCCCATTTCTTCTTTACCGTCCTCTTCAATGAGTGCTGTCCCTGTACTGCGAATTGGCATTAGGTGTCTCCCATACTTTATTCTAGTCATTCCTCTTAAGAACTCTGCAAAGGTATATTAGTCCTCTTTACAGATAGGAACACTGAGGCTCAGAGGATTTATATAAGTTGTCCAAAGTCACAGCTGGAAGCCTCATGTGGTGCCCTGCCTGACGAAAAGTTGCATATAGATCTTTCACATTTGTGTGCGGGGCAGTGGCGGTTGATAGGGATAACCATTTGGAGGCAGGACCAAGAAACATTAGTCCTCCAGGCCCTGCCCCTCACTGACTGTGTGAGCATGGCACACTTAATTCCCCTCTGTTGCCTCATTTCCTCGTCTGTAAAATGTGGATAATAACAGAACCAACTTCATAGAGTTATTGATAGAATGAATTCAGTCAGCACATTTAAAATATTTAGAACAGTATTTGGCACATGGTAAGCACTCAATAAATGTTCGCCATTATTTTTAGGAAACAGAGGAGGTGAGGCAAACTTATTAATAATATTATTGATGCTAATAAATCCAGTGGAGAATCATTGCATAGCAGCTTCAAGTTAAGTCAGGAAAGGGGTTTGGGCACTGGGAGGGCATTGTGACCTAGGCAGGGTGTCAGCAGTTCCCAATGCCAGAAGCAAGAGTCAAAAAGCCAAGAAGGCAGTTGAAATAGTGACAAGTCTTGAGATAAACGACTTGGTCACTTTATCCCTTCACAGAGAGGCCAAGCCAGTTAGAGGCACACCCCAGCCTTTGGAAGGTAGAGTTAAATAAGTGCTGGGGATTTTGAAAGAGATGATAGCTTCAATGATTGGGAATGTCTCAGAAGTAATACACAGTCACTGTGGAAAAATACAAACCATGGAGACACAAAAAGAAGTTTAAAAAGCAATTAAAGGGGCCAGGCCAGTGGCATAGTGGTTAAGTTTGGCATGTTCTGCTTCGGGGGCCTGCGTTCAAGGGTTTGGATCCCGGGTGCCGACCTACACCACTCATCAGTCATGCTGTGGCAGTGACCCACATACAAAATAGACAAGGATTGGCACAGATGTTAGCTCAGGGCTAATCTTCCTCAGCCAAAAGAAAAAAGCAATTAAATATAACCACTGTTAATATTTTTATGTTTATCTTTCTATATTTTTTACTATGCATACATAATGTTTTAACAAAATGGAAATCATGCTGTAAATACAGGTTTTGTAACCGGTTTTTCTTAAATTAAAAATACATCTTGAATATCTTTTCATGTCATCAAGTATTCCTCCACAATACGATTTCTCATACCTGTCAGAATGTAATTCTGATTATACAATCACAAATGATCATGATAAGAAGGACTAGAGGGAGGTACCCCAAGAAATGGGGGCATTCATGTGGGGAGCTCGTGGATATGTTCACCTTTGAAAAAGGATGCATTCAAAACCTGCAGGACAGGATTCCAAGCATTGCATCTCAGTGTCATCTGCAAATTGGATCATTTTGTCTTTCAGATATTTTTCCACTCATTGACTGTGGCAGTCATGATAACGTGCATTGCAGACCTCCAACTACAGAGAACATAACTGACCAAGGGCCCTGGCTGCTGTGCTCTGAGATCCTCTGCTGAATTTGCCCTCTCACCTTCGTTTCACAGGCTCAGTCTTTTTTTTTTTTTTTTTTGTTTTTCATTCCATTGTCTTTATTTTTTTGTTTATTGCAGTAACATTGGTTTATAACATTGTAAAAATTTCAGGTGTACATCATTGTACTTCTATTTCTGCATGGACTACATCATGTTCACCACCAAAATACTAATTACAACCCATCACCACACACATGTACCGAATTATCCCTTTCACCCTCCTCCCTCCCCTCTTCCCCTCTGGTAACCACCAATCCAATCTCTGTCCCTATGTGTTTGTTTATTGTTGTTGTTATCTACTACTTAATGAAGGAAATCATACGGTATTTGACCTTCTCCCTCTGACTTATTTCACTTTGCATTATACCCTCAATGTCCATCCATGTTGTCACAAATGGCTGGATTTCGTCGTTTCTTATGGCTGAGTAGTATTCCATTGTGTATATATACCACAGCTTCTTTATCCATTCGTCCCTTGATGGGCACTTAGGTTGCTTCCAAGTCTTGGCTATCGTGAATAAGGCTGCAATGAACAAAATCACTAACTATCAGGGAAATGCAAATCAAAACTACAATGAGATATCACCTCACGCCCGTCAGAATGGCTATAATTAACAAGACAGGAAACAACATGTGTTGGAGAGGTTGTGGAGAGAAGGGAACTCTCATACACTGCTGGTGGGAGTGCAAACTGGTGCAGCCACTATGGAAAACAGTATGGAGATTCCTCAAAAAATCAACGATAGAACTACCATATGACACAGGCTCAGTCTTACATTGCAGTCTGAGGCCACTCCCAGCCTCTCTGGCTCCCAACCCATTTTCTCTTACAGGTGTCTCCTCTAATGAAATCCTTGCACATTTAGTCCCCTCTCTGTATCTGCTTCTTGCAGGACCTCGACACACCGATTAAAGGGGAACAGATGAGGGCCGGGGTCAGAGGCCAACCGTACATGTGAGTAATCTCACTGCAGGCTGCCACTGAGCCGTCCGACGAGGATGCTGACCCATAATGATCCTAAAATCCTCTGGGTGCTGATACACCTCTACGTGGTCAGAGCCATTGCTGGGGCTGGCAGGAACCAAATCTACCTCTTGGATATTGACAACTAAGGCTTTGTAGAAAATAGTTTTCTCTTTTAAATTGCAGGTGTCCTAGCTCAATTATGGTTTATGAAACTAACCAATTCTACTCGAAGGCCAGCCTGAATGAGCAGCTACAAGCCAACTCAGATGATAGCATCAGTCCATCCAGCTCTTTGGTCAAAGTTATTGCTCTCAATATCACCACTGCCCTTGCCCATAATTATAATAAGAGCTAACATTTATCGAGCACTTAATTTGTGCCAGGCAGCATGCCAAACACCATACATGGATTATCTTATTTGATTCTTATAACTGCTCTATAAGGTAGGTCCTATTTTTCTCCCCTAGAGAAGTTAAGTGTTTGCTGAAGGCCGCATAACCAATAAATGGCAAAATTTAAAATCGGGTCAATCTCATTTCACAGCCTGTGCTCTTAACGACCAGAATTGAGCACACCTGCCAGTGATATGTCCTGGTCAGGACCTCAGGCTTGACTCACTCGACCTGATTGCTTAGTAGTGACCTTCCTCAGCCTCCAATCTCGCTCAGGGGTGGGAGGTGGTGCTGGATGGGGTGGACTTGGACGAGGGGTTGGGTCTCAATTCTCCTGCAGGGAAGTTTGTAGCTGAGAAGACAGCAGGAATATTCTAATCCTGATGAGCCAGGGTAAAGGAGCTGGGATTAGAGGAAAGCCTGTCTATTTTACTCTTTACATTTGGGGACACCATGCTCATGAATGATCTAATTGAGAAATCTTGGGCTACAAGTACAAAAAGTAAACAGAAATTATTTAGGCAGGAATTTTTCCCCCAAAAGTCCAGAGTGGTTTTACCCAGAGACAAAGTCCTCATTTGTTCCGTTAATACCACTTCATGGCATCGTGACTGCCTTAATTGCTGCCAGTCCTCCTGTGGCTGATGAAGTATCTGTTGTCTTATGACCCGTGGGATGCACAAGAATTAGCATAATAGCACCGCCTCCACCCCTGTGGCAACTCAGCCAGCACCCAGACACACACAGACCGTCATTCGCGTCAATTATGAAACTACTGTGTGTCTCTTCAGCCACTCAGCCCACGCTGATGCTAGGTGCTTGTTAATTCAGTCTCAGCGCCACGGCTGGAACCAATGGCTGCTCCTGCTCCTGCTGTGCTCTTCCTTCCCGGCTTCTCCATTTCAGCAGTGTGGGGACTTAGCTGCTCGTGCCTCAGTGAGTTCCCTCCTGAGTTGACACTGAAGTCAAAGTGGGCTAGTGGCTGGGTCCCCACACCAGTGGCAAATAAGCAAGAGGGGTCAATTCTGCAGCTTTCTACGGAGTGGGAATCTTTGGGCAATTCAGTAAGCCCTTATTAGGCTCTTATGTATCCCTAACTGGGCTAAGTGCTGAAGGGAGGGGTGGAGAAAGGAGAAAATCCTTTTTCTTCATCATCATCATCATCATTACTGCAGTTTATCAAGTACCTACCACATAGTACTGGCATACATTATCTCAGTACTCAGAGCTGCCTTATGAGAGAGGTACTACCCCCACAGTACAGATTGGGAAACTTACTCCCAGAGTGGCCAAATCATTTATTCAAGTTCATATACAGCTCATAAATGGCTAACCTAGGAAAAGAACTAATGCTTATCCATAGGTAAATTTTGTTCTGTTTGGGGTTTAAAAACATGTAAAGATAAAATAGTTTTAGTCAACATTATGAAAGAGTATATGGCAAATGACCACATGTAATAAAATCCAAGGCTACAATGCACATTGTTCATAAGTACCATGGTGAGGGCAGGGGATGGTCAGGGAGGAGAGAAGTTCAAGAGCAGTAGATATGTCATGGAAGACTCCTGAAGAAGATGGAGTTTCAACAAAGTTTGGAAAGATGTGTAGGACCCGGATAAACAGAGGGAAAGTGGAGGAGGTCCCAGGTGGGAAGAGTAGCATTAAAGAAGGCAGGTGACAGAGAAGGAACCCGAGGAGAGCAATTGGCTGGGAGCAGAGAGTGTGTGATACAGAGCAGTGACGGTCATTTTACCCTGTTTATTATTCAATTCAACTCAACAAATATTTATTTTGGGCCTATGTGTGCTAGGCACTGGACTAGGCAAGTGGGATATTGTAGTGAGCAAAACATAAAAATCCCTGTTTGCTTGGAGCTTACATTCTATTATTGTCATAGCATTATTGCTATTTCTATCTTATTTATTTGTTTACTTATTTATTATCTGATTCCCCACCCCTCCCAAAAATGTACGCTCTATGACAGCAGGGACTGTAGAGAACAATTTTAGTGGTCTTTCTTACTTTCATTCTCCTTTCTCCTGGCAACGGCCCCTGATTCATGATTTCGGATACACCCCAAATACGATTTTCAGCCATCTACTTGGAGTTAATATATTGACCCCATTACCTCCTCCAAGCCCAGTGGCATAGTTTACTCCCCCTCCTGCTGTTCTACTGATTGTTTCAGAGATGGGACTATAACCCAGGCTTAAGCTGGTCCAATGAAGGCAAACCTCAGGACAGACTCCCTCTTCCACGGGGCATGTGGCTGCTACAGCTATTTATGGCCAGGAGGGGAATATTTGACACTGCTGGGGGTATCATGTGAAACTTCAAGTTAAAGCTGACACTGCAGAGGACAGGACCGAGGGACAGAAAGAACCTTGGTGACATTATTGAGTTGCTAGATCAAGCCTCATAGGAGGCTAAACCTGCCTCTAGATATTTCAGTCACATGAGCCAGTTTGAGTTAGATTTTCCCTCATTTGTAACACAAAAGGTTTGAGACAGGGATTTTGTCATCTTTATTGTTGTATCTCCAGTGTCTTCTCTAGAATAACACCTGGCACATAGTAGAAACTCAATATTTGTTTAGTGAATCCTTGATAAATGAGTGAAAAATGAGGTTAAAGAGGCAGTCACTTCTTTTCTTGCTGTTTTTTAAAATTAATATATTTGTTTAGATTTAATTTCTATGAAATACATCACACATACAAAAATGCAGGTAAGGGGCCGGCCCCGTGGCTTAGTGGTTACGTGCGCGCGCTCGCCTACCGGTGGCCCAGGTTCGGATCCTGGGTGCACACCGACGCACCACTTGTCCGGCCACGTTGAGGCAGCGTCCCACATACAGCAACTAGAAGGATGTGCAACTATGACATACAACTATCTACTGGGGCTTTGGGGAGAAAAAGGGGAAAGAAAAAAAAAAGGAGGAGGATTGGCAATAGATGTTAGCTCAAGGCTGGTCTTCCTCAGCAAAAAGAGGAGGATTAGCATGGATGTTAGCTCAGGGCTGATCTTCCTCACAAAAAAAAAATGCGGGTAAAACATAGGCATATCTTAAAGAATATTATTAAAGGGAGCACTTGTGTAACTTTCACCCCAATTAAAAAGAGAACAGTGCCAACCTCTTGGAAGCTCCCTTTGCTTCTTCCTCAACCACATTCCTCCTTTCAGTCTTCCTCACAGAGGTAACTACAATGCTGACTTTGTGTTAATTATTCCCTTGCTTATCTTTTTAGTAGTACCACCTGGGTACACATCTCTAAAGTTTAGTTTGCCTGCTTTTTCAAAGCTTTATATGAATGGAATTATACAGTATGCTTTTATGAACAGCATAGTTCACTCATTATATTTGTGAAATTGATCCACATTGCTGCATGTACCTGTAGTTCATTCACTTTAATTGCTGTGCACTATTCCATTTTAAAAATATTCCACAACCTATTCATCCACATTATTATCATTATCATCGTCATTATCATCGACATTATTATTACCGACATCAGGGCTACTTCCGGTTTTGAGCTATTACAAACAACAGTACTGTGAACCTTCCTGTGCACATCTCCTGGGACATATATGCAAAAGTCTTCAGGGTATATACCTAGGAGTGGGATCACTGGGTCATAAAGTGTGCATATGTTCATGTAGGTAACTGTTTTCTTTTTCCATTGATGGATCGATTTACATTTTAATCAGCAATGTAGGAGAGTTCCGCATTGCTCCACAGACTCACCAAACTTTGGTACTATCAGACTACTTAATTCTTGCCAATTTTGTGGGTATGTAGTTGTCTCTCATTGTGGTTTTCATTATCCTTCAGTTCAAGTTAATTTCTAATTTTCATTATAATTTATTACTTCACCCATTTAAAAATGTTTCTTAATTTACAAATGTATTTTCTAGCAAGCTTTTGGTTATTGATTTCTAGCTTTATTGTATTGTTGTAAGATAAAGCGAATTGTGTGGTTTTGAAGACTGAAAATTTGTTGAAGCTTTAAGTTTATAAAAATGTTCCTGGTAAGCTTGGAAAAAACGTGTACTTGTCAGTTTTGGCGTGTCAAGATCTCTATCTGTTCCTTAGGACAATTTGTTATATGTATTTCTTAAATATTCTATATTCTTTTTTATTTCCTGCTTATTCCATGGATTACTGAGAGAAGTGTGTTTAAAATCTCACACTGTTGTGGGTTTTTCTATTTCTCTTTATAGGCCATTTATATTTTTGAGGCTATGACATTAGGAGATAGAAATTTAGAATTGTTGTATCATTCTCGTGAATTAAGCTTATGGTCATTACAAAGTGACCCTTTTCATCTTTAGAAATACTTTGTTATTATCTACTACTTAATGAGGGAAATCATACGGTATTTGACCTTCTCCCTCTGACTTATTTCACTTTGCATAATACCCTCAATGTCCATCCATGTTGTCACATATGGCTGGATTTCATCATTTCTTATGGCTGAGTAGTATTCCATTGTGTATATATACCACATCTTCTTTATCCATTCGTCCCTTGATAGGCACTTAGGTTGCCTCCAATTCTTGGCTATTGTGAATAACGCTGCAATGAACACAGGGGTGCATGTGTCTTTACGCATAGGTGTTTTCAAGTTCTTTGGATAAATACCCAGCAGTGGATTGGTGGTTACCAGAGGGGAAGGGGGGAGGGAGGAGGGCGAAAGGGATAATTTGGCACATGTGTGTGGTGATGGGTTGTAATTAGTATTTGGGTGGTGAACATGATGTAATCTATGCTGAAATAGAAGTATAATGATGTACACCTGAAATTTATACAATGTTATAAACCAGTTAATGCAATTAACAAAAAATTAAAAAAAAAAGAAATACTTTGTGCCTCAAAGTCTATTTTTACAGATATTAACCTAGCTATACTGTATTTCTTTTTCTTTAGCATGTTCGTGGCATATCTTCTTTCCATATTTTACTTTCAACCTTTCAGTATCTTATCTTTCTGTCGTGTCTCTTATAAACAACATTTAGTTGACCTTTTTACTAATCTAGTCTGAAGGTCTTTCTTATTACCTAGAGCTTTTAGTCCACTTATATTTGATATAATTAATGATCTCTTTGGATTTGTATCTACCATATTATTTTGTGCTTTCTAATTGTCTCAGCTCTTCTGTTTCTTTTGTACGCCTATTCTATGTTTCTTTCTCCATTATTTTGATGGATTTAATATATTTTACATTCCATTTTCTCCTCTATTAATTTGGAATTTATAGACTGTTTCTATGCTTTTAATGATTATCCTTGAAATGGCAACGCGCATGCTTGACTTATCAAAAATATTGTGATCATATTCTTAGTCTCCTGGACAACTTTTAGACCTTATAACACTAACTACATTTACTCTTCTCCTGATATGGTTAGATAGATGGAAAGACAGAGATATTTGCTATATATTGTTTAGTTCTATTCTGTTCTTTTGATGCCATAAAGCATTATAATTACATAATCAGTATGAGACTCCCCATCCTAGATGGCTCTGAGCTTAATCTTCTGTCACCCACACCTCAGGAGGCCATGAAAATTCAAATTGAGATTTTCCAGGTACAGTAAATGCCCTTAGTTCAGAAGTACTATGAATGCTCAGCTGGAACTCTCTGAGTTCCAGCCTTCACTTACATTTTGGCCTGGCAACTACTAACTCTTTTTCCAGCTCCTTGATGCCTTTAAGATATTTCATTCAACATTTATAGTTTATTGTGTGTGTGTGTCTGTGTTTTTAAGGCAGGAGGATCACTCAAGATACTTTTCTGCTAGATTATCAGAAATAAACTTGGCCTTGTCTTTATCTATACAATTTCATTTCAGTCTCTTTCTTAAATTTTTGGGTACATCTGCTTCAACCACCTTTTAGTTGTTTCTTTTTCAACTCTGAGTTTACCTCAGGAAAGTTCCTTTTTTGTCTCCCTCTATATTCATCTCATTTGTGTGTCAAAAATTTTAAAAAATGATCCTAATCACGCCTAAAATGCATGAGTAATGATAGTGATGCACTTGAATCAAGGAGAAATTCATAAATTGTTATATGAAATTATACAGAGAACCAATGCCCTAAACTGCTAAAATCCTTGAAATGGTCCAAAGACCCCTTCAGAATGTCAACAAAAGTATTTGTCTATCTTCTCATCTTCCTCTAACTAAACCTGCTTTTCCATAAGTATCACCAGCATTCAAGAGAAGTAAAAAAGTCTCTTTTTTCTATTTTATTGCAACAATGTAGTTT